TTTGTAATACACAAAAAATGGTGTGTTTTGGTCTGTCAACTGCTCACTATAAATTTGTAATACACGAAAAAAATTGTGTGTTTTTTATGTGTCAATTGTTTCTCATGAATTTGTAGTATATGAACACATGGTGTGTTTTTGTTTCAACTGTTCATCATGAATACGTAATATACGAAAACATGATGTGCTTTTATGTGTGAATTCTTCATGGTCAATATGTAATATACGAAAATATGGAGTTTTTCTATGCATCGACTGTTCACCATAAATTTTTAATACAAGAAAACGTAGCATGTTTTATGTGCCAACTGTTCACCATAAATTTGTAGCTGGTCAAAGCACTGGTTACATATATGTGTATGTATCATTTTTATTATGTTGTCTCTTAATTATTAAGTCTTAATCATTTTTATTTTTATAAATAAATCTTACCCCACAAGAAATTAACTGGGATATGCGATTTTTATGTATGTTTGACTTTCATATTAAGTTTCGTAACACTAGCCTAATAACTTTACAAGTGGCCTGACTCAGAGCTCATTCGAAAAATTATGTTATAGCCCTGATTAATATATATATATAAACTTTAGAATTATGGAACACCAAATACTACACTAAGTAACTCACTAAACGTCTTTCTTGCTCCCAGGTTAGCGAGAAATTGGGTCGGAAGAGAAAACGACACGAGGGAAAGACAGGGAAGACGCAGAACGTCTCCGAAACGGGAGGTAACTGGAAAAGAAAACACTTCACTAAAGCAACTATGTGAATAGATTATTGTCTGTTTGTTTGTTTTAAGTTAAGCATAAAGCTACATAATGGACTATCTGTGCTCTGCCCACCACGGGTATCGAAATCTGGTTTCTAGCGTTGTAAGTACCGATGTGCCCCTGGGGGTCATGTAAATAGAACACTGGCAGAGTCACATGACAGCCAGACTGTGATAACCGAAATATTCGTGACACATAAAAGTTAAATAATGCATAGACGAATATCAATTTATCTTTTATAAAATTTGTTATTGATATAACCTTAGTATTTTCCCAAAAATTATCATTTTAAACGTCAATACTGACTTTCTGCTACCACAAACAGCCATCGGTTTATATTAAATCAAAGAAAGGTGATAGAACATGTGTGATTTAGATGGGTAGTGTGGTTATCTTTGCGTTAATATAAAATGGATCATTTCTTAACTTAAATGTGTGTATACACTATTTTATCACCTGTTTGCAGATACTTTTGTATCTCAAATTTATCTCTCTTGAAAACGTAATGCGACTACATTATCACCTCTGCAACTTTTCAAGAAGAGTCAGTACAACATCTGGCATATGATCCGACTGGACAAACGTTCAGTTAGTGTTTGTTAGAGAGCTACAATGTTTATAGTAAGGAGAAGAGATACAGACTTTATGATATTAGGAATACATCTTGTGATATTAGGAATATATCTTGTGATATTAAGAATATATCTTGTGATATCAGGAATATATCTTGCAATATTAGGAATTTATCTTAAGCGCAGAGTCTTCTCTATTGTCAAGGGGGTTAATCTTACTTTATAAAAACCTATTTGCATACGCTAATGTAGCGGTGCTTCGCCGCAGTAAGGAGCTGTGGCGTTACGGACATTTAACAGTGCAATGCCTCTAACGCTAATATCAGCTTCAGAATTATATGACCGTTCTTTCCGAATGAGAATTATTCATATAGCTAGCTCGTTAAACGATGTATAACTAAAGAACACAGCATTTTAAAAAGATAAGCCTTCACTGCTATTCGTGGAAAAACAAATGATAACACAGAATAGCTTTTGGGGCAATAAGGGACTCCGAAAACACACCCAAAGTCAAGCCGGAACAATAAACCATCTGCAAAGTGAAGACTATGATTACGATAGAGAACCTTCCGACCTACAAAGCTATTGCAATAAAGCTGAGGGACTTTTACTGGTACATATAACAAGATATAAAAAAAATCACTTGAAACTGCGGAGAGGTCACAAGCTTCCAGCCATATCTCCGAATCAATGACTCTTTAATGAGAAAGGTGGTAGAAGCAACTGAAATAACATTTATCTCATTCTACCACGTACCCGTGAAGTCCTCTCCATACAACGACAATGCTCTTTTGTGCCTTTTTTCCGTTTACAGGTGTACTTGGAATCCGATGTTCATGTTCAACAGAGTATCTGTAGAAAATCATAGAGATGTGCAGTCTAAGACTGAACTCACTGTCCTTCACTGAAACGTATTATAATGGAAACTGCAACATTGGACCTCACTGACGTCCAGTCCATTACAATGGAAAGCAGTATTGGGTATTACTGATGTCACTGCAGAGCTGAGGATCACTGAAGTTCATTAAAATGGAATCTGCAGAGTTGAAGATTACTGAAGTTCATTAAAATGGAAAGTGCAGAGTTGAGGATCACTGAAGTTCATTAAAATGGAAACTGCAGTACTGGACATCACTGAGACACATTACAATGGAAACTGTAGTACTGGACATCACTGAAGTTCAATACAATGGAAACTGTATCACTGAACATCACTGAAGTTCAATACAATGGAAACTGTAGTATTGGACATCACTGAAAGTCAATACAATGGAAACTGCAGTACTGGACATCACTAAGACTCAATGATGTTCATTGCTGAAGTTTCCATTGTACTGAACTTCAGTGATGTTCAATACAACAGCTTCCATTGTAATGAGCCTCATTGATGTTCAGTGCTGCAGTTTCCATTGTGATGATCTTCATTGATGTTCAGTACTACAGTTTCCATTGTAACTGAGACTCATTACAATGGAAACTGCAGTACTGGACATCACTGAAGCTAATTACAATGAAAACTGCAGTGTTGGACATCACTGAGGCTCGTTACAATGGAAACTGTAGTACTAGACATCACCGAAGCTCATTACAATGGAAACTGTAGTACTGGAGATCACTGAAGTTCGTTACAATGAAAACTGCGCGTAATCACAGCCACTAGAATAAGCACGAACAACGATGGAGGAAGAACTTCCAAGGGCAGCATAAGACCTGGAACTTTTATAAATCAGCTCTCGGGAACCCCACTTTGTTGTTGTTTTTTCTCTCTCTCTCTTTTAACTGAACAAGGCAAAATAAAGTTTGTAAGACAAAAATGGCTGTTTCAGATTAAGTTTTGGGGATTATTACTTATTTGATCACTTTCACAATTAGGCTTGATGAACGACAATTAACCATTAAAAAACTCTTCCTAATAAGCTAATAAGCTCGAAAACTAATTTAACGGTAGAATACCAATTGCAACCAAAGGCAAATTTTCCCCAAAATATAGCACGGCATGTCCTGGTGGTTAAAGCGCTCGACTCGCAATCTAAGGGTTGTGGATTTGAATCTCCGTCACCGAAGATGCTCAGCCGTGGAGGTGTCATAATGTGATGATCAATCCAACTATTCCCTCTAGTCTATCACTGCTAAATTAGGGACGGATAACGCAGATAGCTGTTTTGTAGCTTTACGCGAAACTAAGAACAAACCAAAAGTATACGTGTAGCCAAAGTCAAGTGTACCGAAAAGTGTACTAAAATCTAACCCAACAGTTTAGAAATAGATGTGTAGTATATAAACTCTGTCTAACATCAGTAAGAAGTGAACAGTTCAGGATAGGTGCTGCTTGTCACTCAAGTTTCTAGTAGTCATTGCTTGTAACATTTTAGTAAATATTAATTTAAAGTTCTAAGGTATTCGTACTGTCAACCTTTTTTTTTTTTTTGCAAGTATTAATGAAATGTAAATTGTCATTAAATCTGCAACACATATGGTTTTCTGAATTATTGTGCATCTTGTTTTTTTCTATTGTTCACTGCTTCATTTATTATTTTCGCTTTATTTCCAAACATTTACATTGAACAACAGGAAACAGAAATGTTTTCAAGTTATAAATAGATACACGCTCTATGATATGCACGTGGTCTTGTTCCTTGTATACGTGTTTGAGTGAGCTTCCAGATTGTTGTTTGTTTACTGTATCTCTTCGGATTGTTACTACGTTAAGACCAGAACAAACGTTTGACTAGACATAGTTTTAATTCTTCCTTCGTGATTGTCTGCTTTCTATGTAATGAGTTTTGGTAACGTAATCTATTAAGGAAATAAATTAAAGCAGTGATCTCAGGGATCAGTTATTCCATTTATAAGAACAGTATTGCTTAGACATAAATTCTTTAACACGTACTTTGAGCTTGGAAAAAGTTTTAAACATATTTAATTAATTTTTTTTGTGTATTATATATGTGAAATAATTTCAAGACACTTCAAACAACCCCTTCTACATAACTTGTATATCTACCTGGCATTTTACACGAATTCTGTATTCATCTCCACGTATTTAAACATCTTCAAAATTCAGTATTCATCTTCACGTGCTTAAACATCTTTCTTCAAATATTACTTTTTGTAGGCGAAAAAATTAAAACACACATGGCATCAAATTAAATACTTTGTTTATTCATCTTCAAGCAAGATATTATTTCCCAATATGAAAGTTAAGTTTGATCCGTTCAGTGTGATTTTGTTTATTTCAGAATTTGGCGCAAAGCTATATATAAGGGCTATCCATCTGTGTATAGCCGCCCTTAATTTTGAACTGATAATCTATATGAAACGCAGCTAGTCAACAGCACCCACAGCCAACTCTTGTTTGGTCAGATAACAGGATTGTACTAGAGATAATAAGAATAAAATAACCTTATCATCTCAGGTCAAGCCTTCGAGCCCCCACCTCCAAGTGGCTCAACGGTAAGTCTGAGGGCTTATAACAGTCAATACCAGATTTCGGTACCCGTGATGGGCACAGTACAGATAGCCCATTGTGCAACTTTGCGCTTAACTACAAATAAACATTCGAACACTTAAACAAATCGAGTAGACAACATACCTGCCTTCCAAATAAGAAGGCTTAGGTTAAAAGTCCAGCTCCTGCCACCACATTCAGTCCTTCTCAGAGTCCTTTGAATATGATATTGTTATGTAACCATCCTGATAAACACTGTCAGGTCATTCTAGAATTATTGTGAAATCGTGAAGTCTTATGCTTACGAAGATATCAAATAAAACTTTTACTATCCTGTGTGTTTTGGTGTTGTTTTAAAGGGTTTGATAACCTAGGGTCACTTGCCACGTTCAATGGTAAAATAAAAGATAAGACAGTATTAGATATCTAATAAAGTAACTAACAGAGACAAAGCTATAACAGTGAATTGATTCTCAAAATTATTTTAATGGGCAACATTCAACAATCGTGGGGTTTTCTATATTTCAGTTTGTTTTCATATACCACCAGCCCGGCATGGCCAGGTGGTTAGGGAACTCGACTCGCAATCTGCGGGTCGCGAGTTCGAATCCCCGTCACACCAAACATGCTCGCCCTTTCAGCCGTGGGGGCGTTATAATGTGACGGTCAATCCCACTATTCGTTGGTAAAAGAGTAGCCCAAGAGATGGCGGTGGGTGGTGATGACTAGCTGCCTTCCCTCTAGTCTTACACTGCTAAATTAGGGACAGCTAGCGCAGATAGCCCTCGTGTAGCTTTGCGCGAAATTCAAAACAAACAATATACCACCAAGAAGTTTCAAGTCATCTAGATATTCTAGCTTACCATTTACCGTGGTTCAACAGTATGTTTACAGACTTGCAACGCTAAAATACGGAATTCGATTCCCCACGATAGACAGAGATTTGAGTTAGAGAGAAAAAAAAAACACAAAAACTACAGAATGAAGTAGAGATTGCTTATCATGTGACATGCATCTAAGTGATGTAAAATATTTCCTTTTGATGTATACCACACGTTTAACTACATTTTGGCAAGTACACCCTATATTTGAAGATGATGGGTGTATTATATACACGTACGACTTTTATGTAAACTACATGGTAAAATAATAGCTAATAAATGGCAACTGGCAATTTTACACCTACATTGAATATCTCTTATATTTTGACATTTTACAGAACATTAATTTGTACGGAATAATAGTTTAATGTTATTTTTTAGTGCGAATGTGACCCAACATGGAAAGGTGGCTAAAGCGCTTGACTCGCAATCTGAGGGTCGCGGGTTTGAACCCCCTTCCCACCAAATATGTGACGCTCAATCCCAGTGTTCGTTGGTAAAAGAGTAGCCCAAGAGTTGGCGGTGGGTGTTGATGACTAGCTGCCTTCCCTCTAGTCTTACACTGCTAAATTAGGGCCGGCAACGCAGATAGCCTCGTGTAGCTTTGCGCGAAATTCAAAAACAAACTGAGTATGAATATTGGTTTTCAATTTTCTTAAACAGAAAACCACGGTGCCTTTGAACTCTTGTCTTAATTCAGAAATTTAGGTATAACAATAACTAAGACAGTACAGGTCACAGTTCAGGATTCTCAAAGTGAGAAAATCACACCTGTCAGGTCTAAACTTTTTCATTTCCAAAAGACATTTTTTCATCCTTGGAGAAACTTTCTTTATCTCTGAGAACAATATATTATTATAACTAAAGAATGTGACCCATCCTTGGGAAAACTTTTTTATCTGTGACGATAGGATATATTACTATTAAAGAATATGACTCATCCTTGGGAAAACGTTTTTATCTTTGATCATAGGATATTCTGATAGTTAAAGAATGTGACTCATCCTTGGGAAAACTTTTTTATCTGTGACGATAGGATATATTACTATTAAAGAATATGACTCATCCTTGGGAAAACGTTTTTATCTTTGATCATAGGATATTCTTATAATTAAAGAATGTGACTCATCCTTGGGAAAGTTTTTTTTATCTTTGAGGCCATCCTCAAAGATCAAATATATTATTATAATTAAAGAATATAACTCATCTTTGGGAAAGCTTTTTTTATCATTGAGGATAGGATATTATTACTATTAAAGAATATGACTTATCCTTGGGAAATTTTCTTCATACGTGAAGCTAAGATATTATTATAATTAAAGACTATGACTCATCCTTGGGAAACTTTCTTCATACGTGAAGCTAAGATATTATTATAATTAAAGAATATGACTCATCCTTGGAAAACTTTCTTCTTACGTGAAGCTAAGATATTATTATAATTAAAGACTATGACTCATCCTTGGGAAACTCTCTTCATACGTGAAGCTAAGGTATTATTATAATTAAAGAATATGACTCATCCTTGGGAAAACTTTCTTCTTACGTGAAGCTAAGATATTATTATAATTAAAGAATATGACCCTTCCTTTGGAAACTTTCTTCTTACGTGAAGCTAAGATATTATTATAATTAAAAAATATGACTCATCTTTGAAAAAACTTTCTTTACTATGAGGCTAATATTATGGACAAATTTGACTCATTATTAGGAAACTTATTTTGTCCCAGGTACCTTTCCTTTCAGTAACTTTTTTCCTCATGAGATCTTAATTATTATTTACCAAAAAATCAAATATCATCCTTGGGAAGCCTTTTTTTTACAAGAAGAATTAGGATTTTATTTCTTTTCAGTGAATATATTTATCCTTAGATGAAGTTATGGTAAGTAAAGTGATGCTTAAAACAGGATCTACAAACTAATCTTTGGTAAAATAAAAGTTTTGAGACGCTCAAAACTTTTATTCTCT